AGCGGGTACTGTGGGCTGTCTAGGGAGAGATGTCCTGGTGGATACTCAGCCTTTGATCGTGCAGGGAGCAGGGCTCTCCTGGAACTGCTGAACTTAAAAGCCTTGCCTCTCTCTGTATGCACCTCTGGTCCCACACAGGTGGGCACCTGGGGTTTCTGTGTTCTGTGCTCTCTGTTCCAGGGACATCTGACTCATTCTTTCTTTTTACTGCTTTTCCTTATTCTGAAAGAAGTCACTACAGCTGATTTTGATCTATGTGTAAGGAAAAGCAGTGAGTCTGCTTCTGGATTTACCATTGTTTTCAGATTTTTATGTATTTATTTCTTTCTGCCTAGGGAGTGGTGTTAGCCTAATCTTTCAGTGTAAAATTAAGTGAGATTTCTAGACACGTGACTACTAATTTTGAACTTGGCAAGTCTCCTTGGCCTGGCTTACTCAGTGACCTACAGGTAAATGAAGATGCTCAATGTCAGAGCACGCAGACATGGGTTTTGCCAGGAAGTAAACAGATTTTTCTATTATTTGTTCATATACATTGTATCTGTCAAATCAGTTTCTGCTGTGCATACCATGGTGCTGCACTTCCTATCAAAAAGGAAGAGATAGAAATGTCTCTATTGCAAACTATTGAAAAGTGCCTAGTAAGGTAAAACTTTGGCACCCTGATACAGTTATCTGGGGACAATAACTGAGAGGCAGCAACTCTATACTGAAGGCTCTTAGAGTAAGAGAGGGCTGAGGCAGACAAAATTCTGTATGAAATACCCTCAGAAGTTATAAAGAAAGGTGTTGTAACTCCAGCTTCTTGTGAATTCAGATAACTGAGCTTAGTGATTGTTCCCTCTACCACCCAAAATATTATTCCAAGTAATAGTACCACCCTTGTTTTAAAGTAAGGGAAAACACTGGAGCTCATTCTTGAACAAAGCTGACATTCATTTTGAAAATTGACTTGAAAAAAATAAATCAGGGCATTGCTATTTAATGTCAGACCAAAGGTCACTTAAATGTAACTTTTTTAGAATACTTACAAATGCAGCCAAACTAGTGGATTTTTCCCTGCTATGGCTATCAAGAATTAACACCCAGTTTTCTTTTTTCTGGAGTCCACAGTAAAGCCCCTGTGTAACTTAAGACACCATTAAGCGTTTTTGAATAGGAGAACTTCCTGTGCTGTGAAAATGGGATCTTCTGGAGCCCTAACCAAAGCCAACTGCATTAATGCTACCTTCTTGTTGTCTGAACTAACGTCTGTGATGCCATCCACACATTCCTCCAGTGCCTCTGCAATGTACAGAAAGTTAGTGAGCGTCGTTTCACCTTTTCAGTGCCAGGCTGTGAGGACAATGAGATTTTGCAGGATCCTGTCTGGAATAGATGCAGGGCTTTAGTATCTTCCTGTCCTTGCTCTGCCTAGCTGCAAGCTTTCCTGGAGGTGTAGTTGCACTGGTGGATTTGGGGACTCTTCTGTTGATTCTGAAATACCAAACTGAATGTAAAATATTCCCGTGTCACCAAGAACTCCTCAGTTCTGCCTTTTGAGGAGCAGAGGTTTTCCACAGCCTCTGTAGTCAGTCCCTGCAACTTGTGGAGACCTCCATGACCAACCAGCTACTCATTTGTGTTGACTGCATGGAGCCAGAAGCTCAACTTAGCATTAGAAACTTATTTTCCAGAAGTATGGGATGAAATAGGCAAGTGTAAGGTGCCATCGAGCAGCTGAATACAATATATAAATTATGTAAGACCAATTCCAAAGCAAACCTCACAAATTTTGGGAAAGTTTGGCTCTGAACTTGGTCGCTCTAGCTTGTAACTGAACCTAGCACAGGTTGAAATTAATGGTGGCAGTTTATCGGCACTTCTGCATTTCTGTGAATTAAATGAACCTTTTTTGTGCTCACAGGACAGAAAAAGGGTTAAACTGAATATGTGCAGTGTCATAATTCAGAATTTGAAGAACTTCTGTGGTGAAAATTAACTGGATCCAATTATCCTTTTAGCTAAGCATAGTTTGGGTTTGAGAAATAAAGGACTGTAGAGTGAGGCAGCAATAATTTAATTCTCTGATTGACAAAGTTGCTCAACGAGTCACTGAACCAGATCCCTTCACTAACTAATATGCATTGATTAAAATAGGTTTCATTATCTGATGATGAGTTGTGCTGGTGACTGTGGTGATACTTTTCTTCATTGCATTAAGCAGAAGTTTAAGGGAATTCCTTGTGATAAATCTAGACTTGTGGGTGAGTGAGTGTGCTGCAATAACCAAGAAGGCCTCACCCTGCTCCAGTTAAATAAGATACTCTGTTTTATTGCCATATTAAACTAAGGAGAATAACAAAATAACATAGGTTACATCTGCCGTGAGTAAGTTTTCCTTGACAAACATGCTTGTCAAGCTTTAAGTCAGAAGACAAGGAGATTCTTAAGATTTAAACAGTGCTTCTCCAGTTTCCTTCTTGTTTATGCTGAGCTTTTCTCTGGATTTAATTTTTGCTCAGAAGGGGCAAAACTATTAGCCTCTAATTGAATTTATTTAAATATGTCTGTCATGGAGTAATATAACTGAAACTGTTTCTGCTTGTATTTTTAACTTGTCCTGAAAAATTCTTCATTGGGGTGACTTAGTTTTTTCACACTCTCAATCATGTCATAGCTTTGTTATCTTCCACCCACTTTTTTCAGTAAGCATCCACACTATCCCTGTGTCTGATAGACATTTCATCTCCCTATATATTGATCTAGAAGGGATGAAAAGGAAAGGGAAAGGATATAGTATGTGACCTGCAAAGTGGAGTCTCTGTACCAAAGCGGTGTTACCTGCAGAGATGTCTGGTTTCTTACACACTGCACAACAGGAATGTAGAGTGGCATTTGGGCATACCTAAAAGGGCAAAACATGTCTGTAGGCACTCCAAAGGTATAACTGTGTATTACCTAGGTTCTTGCTGTAAGCATGCAGGCAAAAGTTGAGTCAGAAAACCCCCTGCCTGCTTCAAGCTCAGCTGAGCAAATTAAGTTAGTATACATGATACACTTTTAGTACCAGATGGTGAAAAACAGTGATATCAGGCACCATGCAGTCTCCGTCTTTTATTTGCTGTCTCATTTGAGTCAAGAAAATCCTCTGGTTTTCATTCTGTTTGCAAATAAAGTGATGCTTTGCAGACAAGTGATGAATTAGGTACTACAGAAATTGTCAGGGTTGGTAAGGGAAGAGATGAACTCATGA